TAACTATCAGCAATGTTGACACTCACTTTACCTATTTTGATAGCCCATATAATTTGTAGCTTTTTAGCGCAGCTGTTCTATTTAAAGGGGATTTTATAAAAATTTCTGATTATAAATTCTTAAAAGGTATCGCCTAAAAATATTTTTAGCAAAAAACTAACAAAGTTAAAAAGGACTAAGTAAATCCATATGCTAATAAAAATTAAAAAGAAGTGATGAACCAATAAATACTGGGGCAACCTGTTAGCTGTATGAAAAATGGTAAACTTGGCTCGGCGCCTGTGGCTCAAGTGGCTAAGGCGCCAGCCACATACACCTAAGGTGGCAGGTTCAAATCCAGCCCGGGCCCACCAAAACAACAATGATGGCTGCAACCAAAAAAAATAGCTGGGCGTTGTGGCGGGCGCCTGTGGTCCCGGCTACTAGGGAGGCTGAGGCAAAAGACTCACTTAAGCCCAGGAGTTGGAGGTTGCTGTGAGCTGTGATGCCATAGTACTCCACCTAGGGGGACAGCTTGAGGCTCTGTCTCAAAAAAAAAAAAAGAAAATGGTAAACTTTACCTTTATCCAATGGTAAAGTTGGATTCATACCTTATACCTTGTACATCAGAACAAATTCCAAATGAATTAAAATCTTAAACAAAAGTGAAATAAAAACTCCAAACTACAATTTATTATTTTAGTAGAATGAGGCACAGAAAAATACTTTGGGAACTTCAGTATAAAAAAGACCTTGCTAACTGTGGTACAAAACCCAGAATCCATAAAAGGAAAAACTGATAAATTTGACTATATAAACACTAAGAACTTCTATATGGCATAAACCACCATGGGGAAGATGGGGAAATTTCTGCTACTCTTAATACAGAAAGAAAGAATAGAAAACATAAGAAAGCAAAGAATATGAACAGATTACAGAAAATACAAATGGTTTTTATACACAAGATGCTTACAATCAGAATGAGAAAACTGCAAATTAAAGCTACAATGGGATACACCGATAGCTTAATTGTAATGATTTTACAACACATATATGTATATGTATTTATCAAAACATCCCATTATATGCCTTGAATATATACAACTTTTCTTTTTGAGACAGA